AGCCATGTGCTTTTAGCCACTCAACAGATTTGCATGATATTTGTGCTTTCTATTATCTACGTTCTTTTAATAGATATGTTTGAACAATTCAATTTCTCTCATCCCTAGCAATAGTAGTTTTATATACGTTTCATTACCTTGCTGTGATATGTTTTATTACGTTTTGTCGTAATAATAGCTTTTCAGAGCTAATGTTTCTGTCTTCACATATATAAATACACTTTCCTGTTTTTTGTATCATGTATTGTTAAGGGGATGATTTTGTTTCTATAGTTTTAAGGCTGTTTTCGTTGAGATTGGAAATTTATTTTGCATTTGCCTAACACTGCATTGAACAATCTTCACGACACATCGACAAACAGGAGCATTCATTGCTTAGTAGATCATGAAAGAGTCTCCCTAAAAGCTGGCTTATAACAATGATTTATCAAAGTTATACTGATAACGGAAAAAAACAGTTCCATATGAGTATTTGTTCATGGCAGTGATATAGTGATCCTTAAACCACACGCCATGGACGAAGTTTTGCAGACCCTTTCATAGATTTTATTAGGCAACCACATTGTCTGAGTTATCGTCAGTTGAGAAACGTTAAGCTGTTGTTATATTTTTGGGGACACAGATATAGTGTCATGTCGCGTGAAAATAAGGTATGCGCGTGTCAATTAATAGCCAGCTTTTAGGGAGACACTTTTTTTTAGCACAGCCCGCCTAAACTATTGAGCTTTAAAGTGTTTTAAAATATGTAGACAATAAGCAAATTATAAATGTTGCAAAACATTCATCAACACTGTTTTTGTGATGAACTACAAGATATTAGCTATTGTTTACCTGTAATTACCAATGACTTTACTAATTGATTGCATAATAGGTTTATGAACAGTGCAGATAACTAATTGCATTAAAGGTAAATAATAAATATTGTATCTGTCATCTATCTTATCACCGTAATCGTGTATAGTGTGCAGTTTCAGTAAACTCTTATAAACTTATCGATATACAAAGAGACTAATTATAACTATATGAAATCCACAATAAATTTCTGAATTATGTGAATTATCACATGTAAACTGTAATATTGCGGCAGAATAATATGAAGTATAGTCCCCTACCTTCGGAACTGAGGCTTACTCTCTGTTTGCAGGAGACGATAATATAGAGTGAAAGGCTATAATGCCACCTTTTTTGGAAGACAGGAGTAAATATGTGTCTACCTTCCTGTGTGGGATCACTACATTGTTGACAATTTAATATACTAACAATTACTATTGGAAGTCCAGGAAAATATTTTGCATGAATTGTTGCTTTCTTTGTTAAGTTTTTTCCCGGAATTAGATTTGGTGGGGGATATATTACACACGCGCTTACTTAAATACTGTAGTACAGACCCTTGACTGTTTTCCTTTACCAAAAGTGCGTTAACGTTGCGTTTTCGTTGCATTTCCGTTGAGTTTCCGTTCCGTTTGCGTTGCGTTTGCATTTATCGTATAAAGTGCGTTTAGCGTTGAATGTGCGTTTTGCTGTTTATGTACAAAAGTGATACGTGCAATCATTAGTTATGTACATGTTATGTTACGAATATGTGTGTATGGGTAGGGTGTGAGTGTGAGTGTGTGTGTGTTGAAATGTTTTTATATCGAAGAGAAAAAAAGAATATATATATATATCCGCCTGAAGAAGCCCTAGAAGGCAGAAAGGCCTAGCGGACGATCTGAAAAATTTGTTTTTATTCGAATGTATTTTGAATGTATGAATCAAATTCAAATGCACCGACAAAGCAATCTTTTAAAATATTTTTCGTAAATGATTAAAACGAAATAAAAACTGAAGGTTACACAACTTGAACGATAACAACAATCGGCCATGGGTCAGTGTCCATGGATAGTTTATAAATGTCTGACAAAATATATTTTGTATTGTCAAATGTCAAGCTTCGCTGAATTGATGCTTGAATTTTGACTGGTCGCTCGAGTCTTGTAATAGGTTTAGAAACTGACAGATGCAAGGGTATTGAAAACAGAAAATAAAGTGTGTTCGTTGTATGTCTTTATTGACATAGAAGATGAGTTTCGTTTTGTTTTAAAATGTACATTGTTGCCGAATTAGACAGGTCCGTTAGAAAATTTTGCAAAATATCTTAAACTTCCTCATAGAAGACGACACAATGTATTTGTTTTTCAGTCATATATGTATATACCCTTATTGAATACATCTTTGAACATTTAAAATATATTATTTGTTTTTTTTACCTGAGACCAATCAAATAGCTAGCCGCGTGCCTTCAATTTGCTATAGCATTGATAGATGTCTGACCTATGAGTCGAAAAGTGTTAAGAGGACGTAACTGTAGAGATCTGGAAAAATAACCTACATGTAGATATGATTCGTCATTTCACCAAAAAATTAGACTAGACCTAGGTCCATGACTTTTACTCATTTTTATATGTACCACTTATCGAAACGTGTTTAATAATCAGTTCTTAAATATAAAAATGAAAAATTAATTTATTGATTACATATAACGTTTCAGTCAATTTTCAGCTACGTGTATATTCCGTTATTAAACGTTGTCACAAACACTAGCTATATACCATTGATATACCTGGTCACAAACTCTACCTATAGACTATTGAGATATCTGGTCGCAAACTCTAATTAAACTGTAAACAACTGAGATACCTGGTCACAATCACTAATTATAGTTCACTGAGTTACATGTTCCTAGTCACAAACAGTAACTATAATCCACTAAGATACCTGGTCAGACGCACTACCTATAGACCACTGAAATACCTGATCCGAACAAATATAGTTCACTGAAATACCTGATCACAACAACATATTGTTCATTGAGACATTAGGAGCCCTGGTTACAAACACTTACTATAGACCACTGAACTACCTGGTTACAAACTCTCACTATAGACCACTGTGATCCCTGGTTACAAACTCTCACTATAGACCACTGATATACCTGGTTTCAAACTCTCAGTTTATCTATAGACCACTGTGATCCCTAGTTACAAACACTCTTAATAGAACATTAAGACCCCTGGTTACAAACACATCTTATAGACCACTGATATACCTGGTTACAAACTCTCACTATAGACCACTGTCATCCCTGGTTACAAACACAAACCTTTGAAACATTAATACCCCTGGTTACAAACACTTTCTATAGACCACTAATATACATGATTACAAACTCTCACTATAGAACATTAAGTCCCCTGGTTACAAACACTCCTTATAAACCACTGAGATCCCTGGTTACTTACTTTTACTATAGACCACTGTGATTCCTGGTTACAAACACTTACTATAGACCACTGATATACCTGGTTACAAACTCTCACTATAGAACATTAAGTCCCCTGGTTACAAACACTCCTTATAAACCACTGAGATCCCTGGTTACTTACTTTCACAATAGACCACTGTGCTCCCTGGTTACAAACACTCATTATAGACCACTGATATACCTGGTTACAAACTCTCACTATAGACCACTGTCATCCCTGGTTACAAACTCTAATCTTTGGAACATTAATACCCCTGTTTACAAACACTTACTATAGACCGCTGATATACATGATTACAAACTCTCACTATAGAACATTAAGACCCCTGGTTAAAAACACTCCTTATAGACCACTGAGATCCCTGGTTCCTAACTTTCACTATAGACCACTGTGATCCCTGGTTACAAACACTAATCTTTGGAACATTAATACACCTGGTTACAAACACTATATACCACTGATATACATGATTATAAATTCTCACTATAGAACATTAAGACCCCTGGTTACAAACACTCCTTATATACCACTGAGATCCCGGGTTACTAACTTTCATTATAGACCACTGTGATCCCTGGTCACAAACACTTATTATAGAGCACTGATATACCTGGTTACAAACTCTCACTATAGACCACTGTCATCCCTGGTTACAAACACTCATCTTTGGAACGTTAAGACCCCTGGTTACAAACACTGGTTACAAACACTCACTATAGACCATTTATATACCTGGTCACAAACACTTAGGTACAGGTGTAAAACTTTTTCGGAGGAGAAAACAAGTCATGTTTGTAAGGTGTTCACATAATTGAGTAGTTAGTTTGTAAAATAGCCTTACGCATCGAGATATATACAAATGTGATAGCTAAATGTATAATTTACGACACTATATAAAATGTAGTGTGGCAGGTGTTGACTATTTGTGCTGGGAGTTATTTAACAGGTCTTCCAGCTGTGAACACATGTAAGATTTATTTCCTAAATCTGATTTCATTACTATTATCTTGAACAAATCTAATTACTGGCGCACCCTTAAAAGCTTTTAACTTTTTGATGTATTGGTTTTTGGCATCCATTATAACTGCAACCTTTGAAATAGTATTAAAATGTTTACTTTTACAGACGTATATATAGGTAATATATACCTACACATAAGATTATATTTTACGTGTCAAGTCTATCCATCTTCCGGATTCTAAAACTAGTTAGTACAGTGATATTTCTATTTGATAATAAATGCATATGTGGTCCAAGTTGGGTTAAACGTCAAACAATAAATCATAACAATTTTATCGATTTGTAGTTCGAATTATGGTTTTGTTGACACTTCGTTATCCTCTAGTTTTTTTGTTTTTTGTTTTTTGTTTATAGCCAGCAGTGATAAAATTGTAAACGGCAGCGTTCCTTTTTGCATACAGTTTTACGTATATCTTGGAAGATATCAGAGATAAATTTTCATTATATTGAACCTTAGACCATTGATAATCCCTCAATGGATGAAATGACCATATGGTGGAGAGAACATGTTTACCTATTTTTCATGTTTTTAACAGGTGAATCCTCATTGTAGATCATGATTATTCTACTTACTTTGTGATTGGAACAATGATGTGTCTGCAAAACCCTTGTGCCTTTCTACTCTGTTTCGTTCTGATAGATTCTTGCCCTCCTGTTCTCCGTATTTAAAATGAAAAAAAGACTTCAACAAATACATTGGGTTCCGTATGATAATTATTGCTTTATCAAAAGGTGCCATTGCCAAGGTGGATGACTTGTGACTTTTGTAGACAATACAGGCATCTCGCATTCGAGCAGGACATGTTTCAAAACCTGCAACCAACATTTAATGTTATATAATTCATAAAATGAAAACGTATCAGTTTGTCAGAAAATTAATGATACTGAACTTGATATTAATTAACTGTAACATTTGCAACAGATGCTTACAATTTCAGGCAATATAGTCCACAAGTAGTACTGTACCTGTTAACTGTTGTATGAGATGTCTGGTCCACGTGTTACCCGACGCAGGAAAGCTCAACAGTCCCGTGCGTTTAATAGAATTGTTGGGTCTTGTCAAATTTCTTTTCGGGCAAGCTTCGTTCCTGAAATTTTGCTGCAGTCGTTCATAATCGAAATTCTCTTTAGATTGTGTCATTTTGCTTTCTTGCTGTATTGCTGTTTCAACAGATGAATAAAAACCTCTGTATTGCATGAATTTCGCATTACGCGGCTCTTTGTACACAGTTGTTTGAGATGTGTTGTAATATTTTGTCACAACAAATATAAGCACAACAGAATACGTAAGCAGAGAAGCCACGATAACACACATCCGTTGGAGATCAAACATACTTGGAGAGTATGATTTACAGTGCGTGATCACAGACGTGTTCTGAAAATGTCTCAGTTTTACCTCGAAAACGTTTTGCTCTCGGCTGGACAGATATAGCTACACAACAAATGGACTGTATCTATTAGAGCGCGACCCGATATCAGTTATCGTGACTAACACTAAACACAATACATCTACATCTACATAGTAATGACCCCCTTCAGCTATTTGAAGATCATGTCATGTAATAGTGGGCGCTAGGCCAAGAGAAGAGAAGATAAAACAGAGTGAAAGGGAATATTTATAAAGTATGTTAGTTGGGTTTTTTGTTTGTTTAGTGACAGTTTGAAGCAGTCAGAAGAGGTAATGGAGGTTATATCTGGAGGCATGTTATTCCAGTCTATTATGGTACAAGGGGAAAAGGATTGTTGTCGTACCTGTGTTTTACATGAGAGTGTTTGATATGTCACGTATAGTTTTATGTAGTGTTGGTGACTAATCTGGCTGTTCTACGCTGCACCATTTCTATTTTGTCTATGTCTGTTTTAGTATAAAGGTCCTAAACTGATGAGCAGGCATATTCTAGGGATGGTCTGAAAAGTGTTTTATATGCCCGCTCCTTAACAGATGTAGAGCTTATCTTTAGATTTCGTCAGAGAAAGCCTCGGGTGGAGTTGGCTTTCCCACAGATGTTATTTATATGACATTCCCACTTGAGATTTGACTGTATAGTGACACTTAAATATTTTGCTTTGTCTACGTGTTGTAATACTTTCCGTGCAGCATGTATTTGTGATGTTGTGGGTGTTTGTTGTTGGTGATGGAAAGGACGTTACATTTGTCAGGATGGAAGGACATTTCCATGCTATCTCCCATAGAGCTAACTTGTCTAAATCTTGTTGTAATGGCTGGGTATCAGATGCTGATTTGATAGTAAGATAGGCAAGGGTGTCATGTGCAATTAGACGTACGGTGGAGTGAAGGCCAACAGGAATATCGTTTAAATAAAATAGAAAGAGGGATGGACAAATTACCGAGCCTGGAGGGACACCAGACTTGACATCGACAGTGACAGATGTTTCCCCCTCAACGTTAACAGCCTGCTTCCTATTATCCAGGAAGTTTTCTATCCAGGTGTTAACCTTCTCATTAACACCATAATGACGAAGCTAATGACAAAGAAGCGAATGACTATCCTTGTCAAAAGGTTTGGAAAAATGCATAATCAAGACGTCGGTTTGTTTTCCCCTGTCAATGTTGAAGCTGACATCATTAACAAATCCAATGAGTTGACTTTCAAATGATACTGGCCTTCGAACAATTTACTGTCAAATTAGTACTTCTGTTAAAGGGAAACTTAATCAAGTTGGCCACATTAATAGGGTAACTCTAGTGCGCGGTTTAAGGTTTGATGTCCAGTTTTAAGAAACCGTTAGGACGTAGTCTGTCATCATTTCATTGGATGAATCGTTCAACCGGTGAGATATTTGAAATTTCAAATATGCTTCCGGACACGTAGAATGTTGATCACGATAAACATTACGGTTGACTGATTACAACTAGATTAAATTGAAGTAAGTTTAATATTAGCATCTTTTTTCAGAGTTTTTTTCCCATAATTGTTAGTTTTGATGTGTTTATTTGTCCTTATTAAGATATCAGTGTTGTTGGTAGAGATGGGAATATCACAAAAGTCAAATCGACTTTGATGTATCTTGTATCTTACATTTGTTGTTGGTGTTCACTGTTTTCACACATTTTATGAAAAGTTGTTTGTCAAGATAATTTTGTGTCAATTTTTTGTAACAAAATACTTTAATTTAACTCATACCTGTTAAAAATGTAACTTGAAAAGAGTGTTGTTCTTGTAAATCTTCATAAATAATCAAACAAACTGTCACATACTATACAAAACCTGTTTTCATGACGTTTCTTGATTAAATGGTTCAACAAATGCTGAGAATTTTAAACTTTTTCAAATCTGTTAGAGGTTTAATTTAAAAATAGGTATACGTTTGAATAACATATCTAATGAAGAGTGTGTCAAAAACTTTTGTGTCGATTTCTTTAACAAAATACTTTAATTTAACTCATACCTGTTAACATTTTAACTTGAAAAGACTTCCGTTGTTGTAAATCTTCATAAATACTAAAACAAACTGTCACATACTATGTAAAAATCAGTTTTCATGACTTTTTTTGATTAAAATGGTTTTACAAATGTTGTGTATTTTAAACTTTTTCACATCTGTCAGAGGTTTTATTTGAAAGAAGGTACACTTTTGAATAAAAATATGTTATAAAATGTCTGTCATCATATTTTTGTGTCAATTTCGTTAACAAAATACTTTAATTTAACTCATACCTGTTAA